TTGTCTAGATTTCGAATTTTAAGCCTAAAATGTCTCCAAAAACGCGGTTTCCGCACGTGCAAAAACCACGTTTTGAAGACACAATTTAAGCTAAAAATCCGAAAAAAAGTAAAAAATTATACAGCAAAAACGTAAAGTTTCTAACTAAAAATATTTTACAAGAATCCATATGCACAGCGATATGTTTTAACTTCAAAAAACGTCTACGAACTGCACATTCTAGACAGCGAAAGAATCTACGAACTACGCGCCCCTCGTTTCAATAAATTAACATAACAACAATAAATTTCAAAGAAACCATGTACACAGCATTCTGTTTAAAATTTAAAAAAATCTTCTAATTGCACAATCTAGGCACAAATCAATCAAATAATCTAAACTAAATTACAAACAATTAAAAAAGCAACAATAACAACAGAAATTCATGGTAAAAAATGAACATACATTCTACGAAATGAAAACAGTAAAATAAATTGCACTTACCATAATACATTCGTGAATAAAATTTCGCCAGTCACACAACGTCTGTGAACAAAAGTGCCACGATTTTGCTATATCACATGTCTTTCTGAGATTCAAAATTTCGAAACTAATGATAAAAACTTCCTCCAAAATTAACTTACTACACTAAAACCACAATCCAAATCTTAAACTCCGCTGACAGCCACATACTTTACCAGCAACCATTTAACTGCAAATCCACACAAGAACTATCAAAAATGCCCTTCTTCGTCCGAGTTCTCATAGCAGCTTCTCATTTCGGGCTCCGTTTTAAAAGTCCCACAGAAATTCCAAAAATACACTTCGATCCTCACAAACACACCCGTGAACAAAAGACTCGTTAACAACTCCTACATCGGACCTTTTAATACTTAATTTTCTTTCCACACAACCTAAAATACGCGACTGAAATCTTGCCGCCTCGTCTATCATTTGCTGCATAAGCCATTTCAAAACACGCACAACACGAACCAACGAGCAATTAAACCACTCCAGCGAAAGTTTTTTTAACGTCAACAGGGATGCCATACAACATGCAATCGCGCCATAAACCAGCGCAGAACACATATCGCCACATTTGGTGATATTAGGGCTCATATAAGAGTAGAGCCTAAATTAGGTCTAACTTGTACTTTAATTTACATCAAAAATTAGATCATTTAACGGTTAAGATAACATTTCTTTTTTGGATTAAAATTATAATTTTGAAGTGCTTGGCTAATTCAACAAATTTATTATTTAAATCCATATTTGAGTTCATTATTGATCATTATAAATTGATAATATTACCCACAAAAAGATACTTTGGATTACTAAGATTAAATTACTTTGGTACCATTTCTATTTTAGTCCTGTTATGCACCAAACAGGTGACGACTTTTAGTTACCCACCTTTTCTCTATTTTCACAGTTTTTCCTATTCCTCCATTGTCTGCAATTTACTTCTCGTTTAAGATGTTAAATTATAAAATACCGGTATAATTTTTCTTAAAATTCATTTTTAAACACCATTAAAATAAACTTATTTTAATTTAAATTTATTTAATTTAATTTACAATTAATATTCCTCAACTTTTAAATTAGTTTTTATTAAAAAATTAATTAAATTTTTTTAACTATTTAATTAGTCCAAAGAGGCTTTGTTCCCTGAAGGACTATTGTTTTCTTTTTGCGATTTTGCATTGAATCACTATAAATATCTATTTCACTTTTAAACTGTTGCCACCCAATGTTAGGGTCCTACATTATATTTGAAGAAATTAAATAATGAAGAAACAGCATAAATGTATGTATATTTATCGCATTGTAATAAAACAACGGTACACAGAGCCATCGAATTTTGAATGACATCATCCTCCTACGAATATGGGCATGTGGAAGATCCAATTTGAAATTTGGAAATTTGTTTTATTATCAATTTCTTATTTTGTAAACCTTTAATGAATTTTTGATTAACAAACTCAAGAATTACAAAGCGAGAAATGGCAACACTCTACCGGGAGGGGGAAACTTTTTTATTTGTAGCGCGCGGAACTCTGTATCGGAAATTCTAAAGATATGCTCATTTTAAAATTATTTTGTTGCATAGCTATTGAACTGAATTTTATGGTTTAAGTGGAAAGAACATGATATTTAATAAATAAAGGTAGCACAGAAAATGTTAAAAAAAAACTCCCCTTTGGACGTAATTTAAAATCTGAAACCTGCATATTTTTTTTATACTTATCGTTTTCTTTGTGTGCTGCCAAATTCTGAAATCGTTAAAAGTGTGCCGCGACAACCTAGTGAGCCCTAGAAGTACAACTACATTACTAGAACTCTTGAGTTTATAATTGTTTAAATTCCCTCCTCCCCCAACTTAAAGTGGGCTGGGAAAAATTCAAGCCCCGGCAGATCAATCAGAATTAATGCGAGTCTATTGTATATTCTGTTTTTTATATAGATGCTGCCGAAGAGACGGGGCGTTTTTTTTAGCTTGAGTTCATTCAAAATTTACTATACTCTCTTTGGTACCTGCATCGGAATATTCGAATTACCTGACAAATATTCTGACCAATAAATAGTACATACGGTTTTATGTTTATTAAACAGTTATTTTGTTATTTTTGCCTTTACTTACATTTCTACTTTCGTATACTCCCACCAGTACCTAAATTATGTAGACGTAAATAAGTACAGAATTCTTGAATTAAAGGAGAGGTTCTGGACAACATTCGTTTGGCCACCTAGATATTGTTTCCTTCAGGCTTCTGAATTTACTTGGAACTCAGCTGTAACCCTACTGACTGCAAACATATAGATGAGCTTTGTTTTTGTAAAATATTATGTATTAATACTTAAATACTGACCTTTTTATCAGGACAATGGATTAGCCCACGTAGAACGTTGCGGGAAATTACCTGAGCAAAAATAACGTAGATAAATTTCAAGACAGGTGATAAACACATCAAAGTGAAATTTAAAATTAGGCAAAAGAACAACCTTGTTTCAACAATACCAATTTCGGATATAGGTGAACAATATTCTCGAAGTCTGGTTTCAAGACTTAAGGCTCTTCTAGAATGTTTGTAAACAGTGATTTAACACCAAAAGTTGGCCATACGAGATGATGCTGTTCCTACTTTAGAAACTATAGTGCGAAGTATAACTCCGGTTTTGTGAGCTTTGAGGACAGCATAAAGTCCAGCCTAGTTAGCAATAGGTGGAATAAGTGATATTTTTTAAACTCACGACTTGTGAGTACATGAGAATATTTAACAGCTGTTTTAATTTTCGTAAATTCAGAAGTAGAAGGATCTTTAGGGATCGAGCACAGTGGACCTCCATTCACCAGTTTCGTGAGTCCATCAGTGTATGTATGTTTGTCTGTAACAATGATTTAACACCTTTGGAAATAATAATGCTTTGATTCGAAATATTTCCCATTAAACTTTGCTTAAATTTTGGTTAAGATAAAAACGAAAGATTTATTATGGAAATTAAAGTTATGAGTAATTGAGGGCGGATTGTATCTTTCTCTGCTTCTGAAATTTTTCTAAATTTAAAAGCCTTTTCAATAGGAGTAATGATTTGAGGATCCCAATAACAGTATTAATACCTGTGCAACAGATTTGTAAAGTGCATTAGTATTGGAGTATCATAGTGTAACATAATATTGTACCATTATTATAAATGTAGAGTAGCGTTGGTATGTGGATGCATATATATTGGTGCATCAGTGCTTTGAGTGTTTTTTCTAATGAATTTTATCGTATATTATAAGGTGTTACTTTACCTATGTATTATATTTTATTGCCATGTACCGATTTTCAAACGAGTAGAGCAGTATTTTTGTAACAGTATTGTATTTCGAAAACGTCGAAAAAAAGAAGCTTCGTTATTAGACCAAAACAACACATGAACTGCCCCTTAACGGTTAAACAATCAAAACAGAATCTTTTTAGCCACATGGCTGTTTCCTCTCCCTTCCAATGTGTTCTGATCGTCCTTTGATATAAAGGTAGCTCTCAGGAGATGTGTCTTGGGATTTGCGGCCGAAAATGTAATTACAGTCGGAAGGGCTTATACAGGCTGATAAACGCCTTCTCCGAGTAGACAAGCTTCCCTTTTGATGGAATAAAATAAAGCAAATATGTTTTTTAAAAGTTGAAGTCATATTTCAATACTTTTATCTGATCCTTCAAAAGATTAGCATTAGAGATATTAACAATGGGATTAGCATGGGAAGGTTAACAGAGTGGATGGAATCAGAAGACTGTGCTGTTGAGCTTTTGGAATTTAGAAGCAAAGATTTTTTTATGGCTTTGATGTTGTTGATATAAGGTTGTTCTCTTGTATAATTTTAAGTTTCACTTTGGCGTGTTTATCTTCTCTCTTGAACTTTATTATTTTTACCCAGGTAAATTGCCGCGATATTACAAGTGAGGCCATCGATTGCCCTGATAACTTCTCTCACTAAAGTTCGAGTCAAACCCATTTTGTTTTCCAAAATAAATATTACCAAATTGAAGGATTAATTATGTGCAATCCCCTCACTCCCGTATTTGTTGACATTTATATGTACTATTTTGACGTCAATTTATTTGAGAAACAATCTTTTCGTCTCTGTATTCACTACGTAGATGCGCTTTTTGATCGTAATAAAGAAGATTTATCCCCGATTTCATGTGTTATAAATTCGATTAATTCAGCCATTCTGTTATCTTTTGATTCTGAAACATATCTCTTTTGATACCCATACCATCCTCCAAATCCGCAGTATTTGTTTTCAGTATTACGGTTTACCGTAAACCTTTTTCTGTCTGGTTTTGCCATGCTAAAACATGTCACTTGGCTAAGCCAAAAAGGCTTCTTTTTATACTTATCTACTTCTACATAGCATTCTGAAAGTATGCACATCAGAGTCTATACTTTCTAACGAACTCATTTGTTTGAAATCAGTTGCTATTGACAGCGGATTTTCTCTAGCCACCACAACTCAGTGGTTAGAATACAAGTCTATACTTGTTTTGGCAGTACATATACTAAACTTGGAATGATACAGAGAAGATTAGCATGGCCCCTGCGCAAAGATGACACGCAAACTCGTGAAGGATTCCACATTTTTAATATTGCCCATTGTACAAGCTCGACCGCTTTCTGATGCTTCTCTCCATTTATCCATTTTCTAGTACAAATTTTAATGCCTTTTATATTATTAGAAAGGAAAAAAATAGCAGCACAAATCTGTATATGCAGTTTTATTATAATCAATCGTAAATAAGTTGAGATACTATTTCGAAGTTTTGGATTTTTTTGATTCGGGGTAGGGTTCACCCAGTTACCCGGGTGTCTTAAACACCGTTGCACAAGAGACGGGATTTTCTCTAATGGTCATTGATGAAACCTTTAAATAATTTTCATCTTACCGTCAAAGAATACACTGTTATAAATAACATTAAAAACCTCGTCGTCATTCTGTTTCATCCTTCTATCAGTTACAAAATTGAAGGAATTTTACAGAACTTCAACTCTGGAGGCATTCCTTGCCTATCAATAAAATCAATTGTTGGATTCTTAAAGATTCTATTTCTAATATTATTTCCTGGGGAATATATCTCAAACTACACTGTAAAATTGTCTTTACAGTGTAGTTTGAGACATATAGGCCAAACTAAGAGAGCTTTAAATTTCATATCAAGGAACGCGAATCTTATATTGGAAAAGAGGAAATTTTAGTAACAAATCTAAATTTACCCATAACGCTTCTTCAGTTGGTGAAGTGGCTTTCTCCGGGATTCAAACCCGGATCTTTCGGTACCGCAGTAGGCTCTCCTAACCACTATACTGTCTGACTGGCTTCATTCTAGTGGCACATGCTCAGACAAACTTAAAAGATATTAGCTTATAGTACAAACCTGGTGACTAGAAGAAAGATTAATAGAAGAACGTCAGAGATGGTGGTGAAAGAACCCCCTAGCACACCTCTAGAACGAGTATCATTTCTAAAAGTGAAAAATTATTCTTATGCTTGAATAGCTTGTTGGAAAACACAATTTTTACTACAGTTCTACATGATTATATTGTCGCCCAGAACGGTATAGTGATTAGGAGAACCTACTACGGTATCGAAGGCCCGGTTTTAAATCCCGGAGAAGACATGGATGTTTGTAAATGTATAGTGTTGTCGGTGTGGCATGGCGGCACTCTAAATATGCAGCGAACCGGAAATCCTCTCGTGTGGATTGGTGGAAGGGGAGAGGGGTGGAGGTGTGTTCTCCCTCAAAATTTGGGGTGGAATGTAGAAGTCCAAACTCTCTTTGGAGTAGGCTTTGGCAAACATTGTTCCATGTAAGATGAACAAAACAACAACTACAACATGATTATATTCAGGATAAGATAACATGAATATTTCTTGTATTTAAATCCCGTTGCCCTTAGAATGGTCCCAATTCAATTTAATCATTCTGGTTATCAGATATTCCTGTTCATGAAGAAAGATTTAATTCAATTTTAATAATTAATCTTTTCAATGTTTTACTTGGAGCTGATTATAATTAAATTAAATTAACTTCTTCAAAGGGATTACGGAGTGAAATCCTTTCAAAAGATAAAAGTGTTTATGGTGTGATATTAATTCTAAGTCTTTGTGTCGTTTTGCATGTTAAAGTAATTGGGGAAACGAAGCAGCTTTACTATCGTTTGAAAAGTTTTCAGTTTAAATGTCTCACATATACTTTCCACATAAGGCATGGTGGCTATTTTGATGGCAAATTTGCTTATGGCAAGATGTCCCGAAATAAATTTAAGACTTCACAGACCTTTCGAGTATTCATCAAATACGTATGTTTAGAAATTCCTATTTTCCTTCTATAACTCAAAGTAAACCAAAACTGAAGTTTCATTCCAATTTTCTCATTTTCTGGAACATTTCCTTTCAAAGACCTCTAGAGTATATTGCCTTACTTCCATTTACCTCCGGAGCAATCGTTAAACCCCAAAGTTAACGACGATATTAAAAGATGAATTTTGCGTTTCTCTTAGATATTATTTCAAAAGAAACTAATATCTTATCCTCTCATCTCGAACCGAATCTCTTCAAAAGGATCTAGTCGTCTTCGGTTCTCGATTGCTGACATCCAAATCAAAACCACTTACATTCATCATTAAGAAAGGGGCCTGTCATCAAAAGCATAACTTAATAGATATACTTCCGCAAAAGGAGTGAGTGGTCTTTAAAACTAAATATTGCTGTTTCTAGTCCAGTGTTTTTAAAGCTGCTTTAAAGTGAATACACGCAGTTAAATGAACTGAAACATGATGAAATAAGAGCGAATTAAATGGAAATTTTTAATTATAAAAAATAGATGCGTAATGAAAGGTGAGGTCAAGTTTCAGCGCAGTTCTATGAAGAGTATCAACCAGAAACAAAGCAAGACGAAAAGTAATCGTACACAAAATATCATGAGAGAAAAGAAAGCAAGATGAAACCATTCCAGTTCTAAACATCGTGGTGTAAAATATAGTCATCAAAAACGCTGCCTCGATAAAGATTACTTCCATGACATGCTTAAAGTTCGAGGGGGACAGTGAAACCCAAATTCAAACTTACAAGAGAATGCTCCCACATTTGTGTAACGATTTTGCGAAGATTTATATATAAACAAATCTTATAATTTTATTTTCTAATATGTTCAGTATGATAGCCCTTTTTGTTGAAATTATATCTTGATTTCCAAGATAAAAGAAGGTTAATTTTATTCTACTCCTCCTTCACAATCTACTAGAGGTCCATCCGCTGTTTTAAGATGCCACTTATAAAGAGTTTGTTTTAGAAGTCCTAATGCACAGTAATCTATAGGAGACACATCAGGTGATAGGTGACGGAGGACGGGGGCGCCTGGTGTCTAACATAGGTAAACAGGCATATACCCCGCGTCCTCCACTGTGTAGAGGCAACAACTCCCTGGAGCCCCATGAGGCCGCCCCGGGAGTTTATTAGGATCTTGGATCTTAAAAGTTAACATGGCCACACAAGGGCTAGACTACATGTAGTACATTGTAAGAACGTGAGACAACTGAAGGTTATGGTTACAGAGGTAGAACAAAATAAGACATAAACATAAAACATAAATGGAAACATATAAAGAAAAACATGAAAAAACACATAAAGCACTAAAAACACAAAAAGGTACACTAAGATACACTAAAATACACGTAACTAAATAAACACCGAACACACATAGATAAACACGATGCAGACAATTAAATAATGTGGACACATAAAAACGAAACACTTGATGATGTTATGAGACGCATAATAGCACGTAATTATTTAAACAGCTCGTGTGATACTGAGAGGACACTCAATAAGGCACGCATATATACGTGAAGCAATGTGGTGACAGTAGTTCATGAAGCCATGATAATAATAGTACGCACAAGAAAACGCGTAGATATACAAACGCGTAGACACATCAGGAAACTTGGGTGGAATGCATTTAATAAAGGAAATAACTTCAATTCTGGTTTCATTTCTCACTCTTTTTAAAACACAGAGATAGGCCCACCAGCGGCCGAGCGGTAAAGTCGCTGAACACTGGTAGTTCGTCCGACGTTCGAATCCCGCGAACGGGCTGGCTGCATGGGTGTTTTCGTGGTTTTCCCCATGTGTAACGTGTATAGAGCCAGTTTCCCTTAGAAAGTCCTTCACGTAGGCATCCCTCCCCTTAGGCAGATAGTCCTCGAGGCTTTGCCATAATTAAATAACCTAACCTTTAAAATATAGAGTAGATTTAGAGGTATTTAGAGGTATAAACATAGCAGTAGATTTAGAGGTATGACTTGGAGCCTTATCCTGATGAAATTTAACACAGTGAAGATTGTTTGGATAAAGAGATGGAATTATTTCTTTAAAAATAGGTGTTGAAACATATTTCTGATAGTAAGCCAAATTAATTTTGACATATTTTTCTACTTTCATTATTTTAAGTTTTCCGTCGAGAATCCAATACTTACCATAAAAACCTTTAGAAAAGCTTTCCTAGGTTTCCCTGAACCAACATATCAAGTCTTTTTCTCCTCGTTTTCGGTAGTAAATCGATCTTTTCTGTTGCAATCAGATAAGTATATCCAAAGTCTCATCAATTGTAGCTATATATTTCCAGTTTTCGCCTGCCAAATAATTTTCGTACAGCAATCTGCACATAGTGTTATGCGGAGAAACATGTTCGGCGTTAGGCTATTAACCATATTTTTTTTTTTTTTTTTTTTTTTTTTTTTTTTTTTTTTTTTTTTTTTTTTTTGATTAGCTTTAAATCAGATTTTATAATTTTGTCCACAGTTCTTACAGAGATATGTAAAGATTTTGCTGTAGCTCTTTGAGGGTCTGGATTTTCCTTTAAAACATGAGATGCTTTAGACTTTAGATTTTATAAGAACTGTACGTATCTTTGTTGGGTAGGTTTCTTGGCATTTTCCTAGTCAGATAAAAACTTTGACGTTTTCTTCCTTTCATATTAATTATGTCACTTATTTTACGTGTAGAAATATTAAACACACGCTTTTCGAATCTTTTTTCAATAATTAAATATATTTCTCTTCGGAGAGCGCAAAAGTATAGCATTCGATCCACTGTTTATTCTTTAGCGACATTTTAAAGAAAAGGATATTTTAAATTTTGCAGACGATAATTAAACTTTATTCCAGTGTGGTGCCAGTCATTTTCGTATTTTAAAATTAATATTTAAATTCAATTGCTAAAAATCAAAATCATTAGAAAAATATGTAAACACCCTCTGTATGCTAATATTATGAAATCTGTATTTAAAATAAGCTATGAGGTGAGAAATGTGTTTCGATGAGGAATAATGAGATTTGGGCATTTATTTCTTACTTTATTAAAACTTATATTTACTTTTTTACCTCAAGGTGTAATTTAAATCTGACGCCTATAGCACGCCTGCCAGATTTGACACGCAGTACAATTCTCAGTTACACTCTAACACAACCACTCTACAAAGTTATATATAATATTATAACCACTCTACAAAGTTATATATAATATTATAACCACTCTACAAAGTTATATATAATATTATAACCACTCTACAAAGTTGTATATAATAT